TGATAACTTGGTTGAAGCAAAAGAAGTTTTCAATCAATTTAATTGTCAGAACCTGCGCGACTATCATGACTTATATTTGTCATGTGACACATTGCTCCTAGCCTGTGTCTTTGAGGAATTCCGCTCTATCAGCTATGAAACATACAGCCTTGATTGTGCTCATCATTTCACCGCTTCCAATTTAGCTGGTGACGCTTTCAAGCGGGTATGTAAAGCTGATGTTGAATTGCTAACGGATCGAGATCATTTAGACATGGTTGAAAAAATGATGCGAGATGGTACTGCATCAATCTTTGAAAAACGACAGTTCACTGCAAACAACAGGCAAATGAACGAAACATTTAATTCGAGCGAAGATACTACCTATGGCTTCGTGGTTGATGCCAACAACTTATACGGTGGAGTAATGCAAACTCACAAACTGCTTGCACGTCATTTCGAGACAATCGGAGTTAGAAATGAAAGAAATAATCAAAAAAACGAAGATGAGAATTCCATGTCAATAGAAGAAATTTTAGCAACCCCTGACGATTCAGACTACGGTTATAATGTTGAAAATTCAAATACCCTCAATTGTTGCATGAAAGTCACCGTGACTATCCACTGGCACCCACTAAGGTAGTTGTTCAAAAAGATTGGTTGAGCAGATACCAAACAAATATCTCAGAACAAATGAAAAACAATGAAAACTGTGGACCCACAATAGGTAAAGTGAAAAAACTTTTACAAACTTTACATGATAAAATTCATTATATAATTCATTATAAACTCCTAAAACTCTACGTGAAGCTTGGCCTTATCGTTACAAAACTGTATCGCATCGTAAAGTTCAAACAAGAATTGTGGCTCGAACCGTACATAACTCTAAATACAAACAAACGGAAAGCGGCAAAAAACAAGTTTGAAGAAGCCCTGTTCAAACTATTGATCAATTCAATTTATGGAAAAATGTGTGAGTCAAAAAGAAAAAGAATGAAAATCAAGATTTTACGAGATGCTGAAGAAACAATGCGAAATATAAGTAAGTTTGAATTTGAAACCTACAAAATTTTTGGCGAAGACATGGTTGCATTGACATTAGCACCAACGAAAATCAGATGGGATGTACCCACAATTGTAGGAGCGTGTATACTAGAGCTAGCAAAGTTTGAGATGTACAAATTTCACTACGAGGTTATGAAGCCCAACTTCAACTGTCACCTCTTGTACTCAGACACTGACAGCCTAATGTACGAAATAATAACGGAAAAAAACTCCAATTTTTATGAGAAACTGTACAAGAAACGTGAAATTTTGGACAACTTTGACTTCTCCAATTATCCATCGGACCACTTCCTCTACAATGCAGAAAACAAACTTACAGTTTTAAAGTTTAAAGACGAATTCCCGGGTGATATAATTACAGAATTTGTTGCATTGAAGCCAAAGCTTTATTCAATACTATTGCAAAGTAAGTACATTTCCTTCAAAATTACCGGCTCAAAACTGTTCAAAGAGCGCTTTTTATTTTCAAAACTTAAAAAATTTCGAAAAATTTTTCAAAAAAAATTTTTGAAATTTTTTGAAAAAAAAAATGTCAAAAAATTTCGTTGAAAAAACTTGAAAAAAAAAATTAAAAAAAAAATTTCGTTGGAAAAAAAATTTGGTAAAAAAAAATGTTATAAAAAAAATTTTGTAAAAAAAGTTTTTTCGTCATCAAAAAAAAATTGGAAAAAAAAATTTAAAAAAAATTTTATTAAAAAAAAAATTTTGGAAAAAATTTTTCATGGAAAAAAATTTTTGTGAAAAAATTTTTTTCTAAGTGAAATTTTTTTAGTTGACTTAGGTTTTTTTGTGCTTCTGTGGGTGGGGTTAAGAGGGGAGGGGAGGTATAGGTTAAATGGTTATCACTTTTTTTTAAATGAGGGGGGGGGGGTGTGGATCTTCTGAAAAGGATGCGTTCATACTTTTTTTATTTTCAACTTCAAGTAAAGTTTAAAAACAGTTAGATACAAAATGATTAGTGAGCATCATTTTTTTTATAGATACACGGAAGCACTCAGCAAAAGGAATCACTAAGGTGACTCAACGGTTGCTAACTCATGAAAAATACAACGAAACTCTCGCGTCTGGAAACCTTCTACGAGCTGAAAATACTCGCATCATCTCCGAGAGGCACATTCTGAACACTGTTCGAGCAAACAAAATCGCATTATCAGCATATGATGATAAGCGGTACATCCTCAGCGATAGTATCTCCACATTGCCATACGGTCACTATAGAACCGTAAATGCTTCTATCTTTCCCGATAGCAATCAGGATGATGATGATGATGATGATGATAGCGAAAGGAATGAGAGTGAAAATAATAGCACCAGTCACCACAAAGATCAAGATTTAGACGATTGGCTGAAATGTTTCGAGGAAGAAGAAGAATTAGTCGACTGGGATCAGCAGAGCTCGATCCAAGAAGAAATCTTCACGCAGGATACGAATTATGGGTCAGAAGATAGCTTTCTTGTGTTGGATACTCAACCGAGCCAATCGTTGAGAGACCTGTTAAATAGTATCACCAGCTATGAAGCTCCAGATCCAGGTAGAATTCGTGTCACGGAAATTGCTGAGAGTGATATTGAAAGCGATGATTTGGTTGATCCAAATGCAGTTACTTCTTCTTCGTCGTCAGATGATGAATGGTACTTCGACCGCGAAGCAGTTGAAGATTCAGCACCGCAGTCAAAAAGACGTAAAACAAACAAAAAACTTCAATGTTGTGTGTTTGATTCAAGTTGAACACAAAATTTAATGTTGTAAATTAGTGTACTATATTATACTTACTTTCCACGTTTGTTCACTGTTAGGTAATGGCGGGCTACTTTAAATCCACTTTTGGTTTTGTGTTACTATTTTATCTGGAGTGGTTTTGAGAGTTTTTTTTTAATTGGAATTAACACCAAACTGTTTTTGGTGCATTTAACCGACACTTGTTTTAGAAGATTGTGTGTATAATTCAACCATTTCAGTTTATATCTATTTTCACCAAGACCATAGATTTTGTGGAAACATTGAAAGAACCAATTCGCAAAGACCTTCAACAGCAAAACACAATTAATAGCTTTAGTTCAATTGGAATACAACATAGCCGAGTTATAGGTGGCGGGAAGAAATAAAAGTACGATTTTGTTTTAACCAACACAACTTTCACATAGGGATCATTAAGTATAAAAATTATACATTGGGATCATTAGGTATAAATATTTTACATAGGGATCATTAGGTATAAATATTTTACATAGGGATCATTAGGTAGAAATATTTACATAGGGATCATTAGGTATAATCTATACCCAATGATCCCTGTAGGGATCACCCCCCCCCCCCGATCCCAGTGTCGTATATCTATACTACTTACGAGTTATGGGAAACTCCCCTGCATAAGCGGCTACGCCCAATGGTTTTAAACGATCAGTTATGTACCTCGGAAAAGTCAAAATTTTGATTTTTTGACCGCTATTTCAAACTTTTGACTTTTCAGAAAATCACCCCCCCCCCCATATCATAGATTTTGGGTTCAATGGAGAGAACGAGTTTTAAAAAGCCCCCCCCCCCCGCATAAGCAGTTCAGCCCAAACGTTTTTAGAGGAAAAGTTATGGTCCTTCAAACAATCTACATGTTTTTTTTTCGATTCTTGAAACTTTTCGACTATTCTCGAACACTACTCCTCCCCCAAGTCTGAGATTTTGGGTTCAACCGAAAAAGCAGTTCGTATGAAGCCTCCCTGCTTAAGCGATCACTCCTGAATGTTTTCCAAAAAAACGTACGGGTCCTCGGAGTATCAAATTTTTGTCTGTTTTTTTCAACGTTTTTGACTTTTCTAGAAGAATACCCCGCTTTCAATCGAAAGAACAAGTTAAATAGGCTCCCTGCATAAGCGGCCAGGCCTAATTTTTCTCCACAAAAAGTAATTGTCTTCGAAAAAATTTCTCCCAGAAATGAGATTTTCTGTTCAACCGAAAAACAAGTAATGTGAAGCTCTCCCAAAAAAGCGGCTGCGCCTAAAGTTTTTTCTACCAAAAAGTTATGGTCCTCGTAAAAATCAAATTATAGATTTTTGAGCGTTACTTGCAACTTTTCTAGTTCTCTCGAAGACTACCCTCCCAAAACAAGTTTTATGTGAAGCTCCCTTAAATAAGCGGCTACGCCCAAGTTTTTAAACTAAAACTTTGTGGTATTCAGAAAAGTCAAGTTATTGATTTTTTGAGCTTTTTTGCGTTTTCTTAAATTTTCTCAAAAACTAGCCTCTCAAATTGAGATTTAGGTTTCAATAAAAAAAAAGTTGATGTGAAGATCCCTTGAATAAGCGGCTACGCCAAAATTTCTAACCTAAAAATTTTCATTAAAAAAGGTTGGAGAAGCTCCCTTGTACAGGCGCGACATCCAAATTTTCGAAAAAAATAGTTATAGACCTCGGAAAAGTCAATGTTTCGATTTCTTGTCCATTTTTTGAAAATCCCTGACTCTTCTTGAAAACTACTCTGCCGAATCTGAAAAATACAGTGGGAAGCATTAGTGTATAAGCAGCTACGCCTTAATTTGGTATGGAAAACATAATACTTTTAAGAAATTTGCAATTTTCCAAAATTTTTTACTCCCATTTTGATAAAGAAACATCTAAGGCTTTAGTAGAAACCCAAGTTTCGAAATTTCAAATATTCCTATTTCATACCGCATTACAACAAAATCAAAAAGTATCAAATAGGTACCCTTAAATTTAGCTAAGCCCTAGTTTATTGGTGGCGAAGACGTTTTTGCAGATCTTAATGTTGCCGGCCCAGAGTTGATGAGGTTCGGATAGTGGAAGGGGACTTTTGTGTGGTGAGAGTTCGAGTTCTTCAGGGGTTTGATTTGATTGAGTTTTATTTGTTTCATTTGATTTAATTATGGGTGAGAAAAGATTCGTCTCTGGTAACAACAACTATTCGGAACTATTCGCAGCGAAAGCAGATTTGTATGCTTCAGTTTCACCAAATACACAACTGCCAATTCAGAACACAGCGTGAGTGCCAAAAAGAACGGCACCGCCCAGTCTCGAACCAACGCCGAAGGGACGAACACCATGAGTAATTTATCATCGCCTGCAATTGACGAGTTGACTGAAAATGCGAATCAGAATACAACCTCGGTTATTCGTGACTTATGTGAAAAGTTAATGAAAACAGTTACACCAGCAGAGCTACTGGAAAGAATTGGACAGCTGCAATCTGCGTCACTGCAAACTGTCTGCTGCTTATCTGGTGGTGGGTCGGACGAGGTGTTGTCAGCCAGTCATTGGCTAGCTTCCATGGCTGTTATCTCGGCCAATGGGAGCAGCCAGCAAAATAGTAAGAGTGCAGTGGTCCAATCAGAGTGTGTGAACTGGGCCCAAGTGCATGCCACCACAGCCGACATAGAGAGCGAGTTGGACAAACGCATTGAAACTCATCTCGAAAGGATAGAACAGTTCTGCACACTCATATCAGGTAAGTTTGCACAAGCCTTAAGCGCTTCTCAATCAGAACCGCGCAATGCAACTTTCTTTCCGCATTTTTAAGATACATTTAGATTGTATTTGAATAAAATTGTTGATAAAATTAAATTAATCGAGGCCACATTACGAGGCCAAGCTGTGCGTTTTCTGAATTGTGAGCGGGTTCCGCAACCGGTCAAAATCAGATTTGTCGAAAAATCAGCAACATTGTTACTTTTCTTTGATCTTTTTGCTGTTTGAATTCCACAAACAAATAGCTTAAACACAGTATTCATACGAAATTGGCTGACTCCGGAAATGTTGTGGAACCCACAAACAATTAAGAAGAAATTTGTTTTTTTTTTTAAATTTCTGCTATCGCGGAATCCGCTGCTGTAAGCTGAATCTTGAACTTGAATTTGCATTCATTTAGGTGATATACGAAAACTGGTGAAAAAGATATACAAAAATCATTCCAATAACATCAATGACCCGCTGCTGTAAGCTGAATCTTGAACTTGAATTTGCATTCATTTAGGTGATATACGAAAACTGGTAAAAAAGATATACAAAAATCATTCCAATAACATCAATGACATACGAGGCATGTCCTGAAAAACCGTTACATAAGTTGCGAAATTATATCGACTAAGAGTGCAATCAGAAACAATTTTCAAGAGTAAACTATTGCCCTTATTGAAATGGCAGTAAAAAAGTTGTAGAACTAGCTGACGTTCTGAAAGAAAATTGTTTTAGATAATCTGGAGTAAATTGATTCGAACTGAGAAAAACAAAACATTTTAATGAAAAATTCCTCTATGATCGCTGCATAGTAAGTGTGCGCGACGCTATTAAAAGCTTGATTTTTAAAAAATTGATGCGCGTTACCCTCCGTGTAAATAAAGATTCAAAATTTAGGGTGCTAATTGGGCTCTTCCTATAAGTTGTGAAAAGTTTTACGAAGATTCCGTGGGTTTGTTCAAGATTCGTTACTTCATTAAATGGATTCGATTAAGAAAAATTTTCGATGTTGCACCATAAGACATAAATCCTAATAGTAAGTCCTTGTGGTTCTTATAAGTCCTTATGTAAAAAAAAAAGGGATGAATACGAAAACACACATCTTGCTCCAAATCACAGCTCGTTGAATTTTGATAAATTCTTTCAGCACTGTGTCAATCTGATAGTCACTTTTCAGTTTATTTTCGATATCAATTCCAGATATTTAAAGACAGATACTACTTCTAAAGAATATTTACCGATTAGAAAAATATTGTTGTCACAAGTTCAACCAAGTTTCTTTATCTGGCTATATGATTCATTAATTAGCGATTTGTGAACAGTGCACCATTTGAATATATTGTTTAGTTTAGCCTGAAACCTGGAATGTTTGGAAAAGTTATCGGCACCCACTAATAATGTATCATCTGCAAAAAAAGTAGTGTTTCACTCAATGGGTGCAAGCAAAACGTTGATATGTATCAAAAAAAAAAGAAAAGCGCTTAAGACCTATCCTTGATAAACACCTTCTTTACACTTAATGTTTTCTGATTTTTATCTCAGCTGAATACAGATTGTTATCTAGTTGATAGATAACTTTCTATCAAGAGTGATTTCTTACCCCGAAAACCAAATTTTTCTATTTTTCAATTAAAATTCTGCCGTCATTTGTATCAAACGTTTTCTTGAAAGCATTGAAATTTTAAAATCCGAAACGTTTTTTGTTATAAGCATCATATAATCCCGTTGACGCATTTCTTTGATTACTGTTTTCTCGCCAACCTAAATGTCTTGTTATTTTCAATGTTCGGTTGCTTTACTCACCTTTTATGCAGACTGTTTTGCTTATTCATCAAGTTTTTGATTATTGTGGTTATCCAAGAATTTTTACTCAAATTGCTTTTCGGAGTTTTTTTTAGGACGGAACAAATCAATTTAAAGACTGGTTATTAAAACCTTCACGTTCAGATTGTTCAAGTAAATCAATTTGTGACGCAAGCTAAAGAGAAATTTAATATAAACTCGTCATTGTTCCAAAAGCAAAAGCTAAAACTATTTCGCAAAAACTTATTAGAGTTTGATTTTTTACATAAGCCTAAAAATTGTACTCTCTTGATCAAAGTGTTCACTAAAATTAGAGGCAAATTTATTTACAGTTAGGTCCATACTCGATATCAAATGATCAATTGAAGAACTTGACATTGAATTAACCCTCGTAGATGAATAGTTAATAATAATTAAATCGAACGTTTTCAAACGCCTTTTGTACTCAACAGTTTGTTTTTTTTTGAGAATTTATGCAATTTGAAACCATCTATGAAAATCAGTTTACCTTCTAATCTGTTTAATTTGAACAGGATTAGTTCGTGTTTTTCCAAAAAAATCATTAGAAGGCAATCACTTTCAATGATTTTTTGGAAAATTGCGAATTAATCTTGTTCAATTTAAACAGATTGGAAAGTGAACTGATTCTGATTGCTGGTTTCAACATAAATAATCTATCAGAAAATAAAAGACAAACTGTCGAGAACGAAATGCTGTTGGAATCATTTGATTTAACTAGTAATAACTATTCATCTTCGAACTTCACAATGATGGGAACGCCATTGTCGGTAGATGGTAGCTTGTGACAAGTTTTGATGTCAACTGGCACAAATTTGAAATAAGAAAAATTGAAAATTGACATTACACACTGTTGGGGTTCGGAGTTGGGGTTCAGCGGAAAACTGTGAAAGACCAGGCAATCCTTGCTGGTGTAGCGTTCTTGTTGAACCATCTTTCCTTCTAGAGAGCTTACAATTTCCTTCAAATCCCAAAAATCCGAACCATATTGATCCACAAATTTTCTCTATTTTCGGAATTCCTACATCCTTTCTGATCATTCGCTTCTCCAGAGCAACTTTTATAAAAAAAATTATAAAAAAATAATGCCGCCCTATATTTTACCCTCATGTTGATCCTCCATAGTTTAGTTTAAGCAAACTGTTTTCGCAGTGTTTTTAAACAGTAAATCAAGTGCTTTTTTAGTGTTTAAAAGTATAATTTTTTAATCCAGAGAAAAATGCTATGTTTTGAAAACTGCGTTGAAAGTGAGATCGACTGATTTCTAGCTGCACAATCCGAAATTTGTCAGCAGAATCCGCAATTTCTTTTTATCAAATATTTTACATCATCAAATTGAAAAAAAATTGTGCAGATTAGGTAGCTGGTCAAGCCCTAAAAGCACGAAGTAAAATTTGAACAATTTTCAAACCACGTAGTTTTTTCTTGGAGCTCAGGACGACAAAACTTTTCGTGCTGTTTAAAAGAGTAAAAAGATGGTGAAATTAGTTCAAAATGATTAGTTAAAAGGTCGAGTTTATTTGGAGATAAAAAAGAAACAGAAAACAAAATTGCTTGAAACATTCAAATAAATTTTTGGTATGCTGTCTTTTGCGAGTTTTCAATTAAAATTTTAACAACAAAAAGTTTAAAGCCTTCGAAAATTGATAGTTTTTTTCTGATGGTACAGTTTTTTGACTGTTTGCTTAGAAATGTTATAATAATCATAATGAATTGTTTCCAAACGATATTTAGTTACAGAATTTTTTAAATAAAAATTTACAATTACAACTAGGAAGTACATGGGAGAACACCATTAAATCAGCACGGACTGTATCAGGTGTCTCATTTTTCAGGTGTAAGAAATAGACACCTGTAAGAATGTAAATGCAATAATGTAAGTGTAAGAAAACTATTTCAATTCTTTTTATACAGTTCATTCAAAAATTGAGGCCGTTCGCGTAATTTAAAATGATACATAACTGCTCGTTAATGCTCTGGACTAAATTGGCCAAAGCATTGAATGTTTCAATACCGTTTTTTTTTGCTAAAATAAATACTGAAAAAGCATAAATTTTGACCATGAACGTCATTTTGCTGTTGAAAAAAAAACACAAAAACAAATTTTTAGGGCAATTTCAAAATTACTTGGAAATGCATATATGGAAATTGTATGATTCGCACTGTTTTTGACAAAACTTTTTTCTTTTTATTTGGTACAATACATCAATTTTTAAGCCAAAACATAAAAAAATTTCTTCGAAAATTCGATGACACCAGTTTAGCAAAATGTATATAATTTATATGACTAGTATTTTTTTCATAGACTCAGTTTATGGAATTGTATGAGCAACATTTTTGGTCAATGGAGGTCAACCCGCGAGTTTCACAGCTCGCAGAAATATATCCAGAGCACGGCGTGTTGGCAATTTTATTTTTGTCAGGTTTTCATAAAAACAACTGAAAATATTGATCCTCTTAAACTTGAACTCAGGGAGCTGATATCTTCAATGGAGATTAATTTGTTTCCGATGAAAGCTAGAATGTCGATCGCCCAAACTTGTCTGATTAAAAAATATAGGTATTTAATTATTCCGCGGCATTATTGTTCTCGAAAACTTTTCGACAGTTTTTTCTCCGTCACTTTTTGGGTTAAATGAACTGCATTTGAGAAAAAGCGTTCCAAGCGGAACCTTTTCTCTCAAGATACTAAAAGTTTTACGCTTGTTTACCGGTAAAAATCATGCAGCAAAAAAGTATGACAGGGTCTCATCAACCAAGCAGCCCTCTCGTAAAAGTTGGTGTTACTCGATGATGTGAAACATTTCACAACACTGAAGTTCGCACAAAAAAATATCGTTGATCAGTTTTATGTGTACAGTTCCGTTTTTGCCTCCCCGAGTCGAGATTTTTCACCTAATTTGAAGCAAGATTTGAGCGGTTTGAGCGGTTTTTTTAGACAATTACGCTCAAAATCTTGCTTCAAAATGAGCGGTTTGAACGGTTTTTGAGCGTTTTTTTTTTAGATAAACCGTTCAAAAACCGCTCAAACCGCTCATTTTGAAGCAAGATTTTGAGCATAATTGTCTAAAAAAACCGCTCAAACCGCTCTAATCTTGATTCAAATTAGGTGAAAAATCTCGACTCGGGCATAAACATCATTAGCTAGTGATAATATAGTGGACGACAACACGTGCAATGAAAATTTTTTGCAGGGCGGATTGGGGTCGGGGGAGGGAAGTTTTCTGACGCCTTTTCTCAGGGACTCGACCCCCTGCCGACCAAAAGGTTCATCAATCTGGTACTATGTTAAGACTTTCATTTTTGGTTGATCGACTCTTGAGCTTTCCAAAAAAAGTTCAAGATTGGCTTGTTTTTTCGTTTTCTTAGACGCTTTGAGGGTTTTGCAATTTAGTGATTGTAAAATGAATACTTTGCAGACAACACATCAGCTTGTGATATTACTGCATTCTGCGCCGAAGTGTTCGAAGTGGCGGAACGACTGAACAGCATTGTGGAGTCAAACCGCCTGAAACACTCTCAGTGCATGGCTCTTCTTCTCCACAGACTCTCCTCTCTGAAGGGCCACGAGAAGTCAGTCTGCCAAGTCTCACAGCTGCTCAGCGGTTCAACCGATCTACGCAACGCCGGCAGCCATCAAAAGTGGCTTAACGTTGAAATCGACAACTCAGTGCTTCGCATAGAAAACTATGAAATGCGTCTTTTGTTGCACACCTCTTCTTCATTCATTTCCAGACAGCCAAACTTTTCCAAACATGACAAGAACGATGCCAAACTGAAGCAAAAGCTGAGAAAATGGTGTGATGAAAACCCACTCGATGGCCAAACTCTTGAATCATGTCGCGCTTTTATCAGCCCTGAAATTGAAGTCTCCTCGGGATTGAAGCAAAATGATAGTTTGTTGTTTAATTTCAGCTCAAAGTTGTCAGAAAACGGGCTAACTAACTTGAACCCTTCTGAAAACTTAGCAGGTTATGATGAAGCCGCGTCACTGATACATTACATAATCCTCAAAGCCTTCATTTGTTCATCGTTGGCCAATCAGAGCTTAGCAAGTGGGAATGAACCAAACTGGAGCAGTGCAGATGGGAGTTTGTTTGAAGTGACGCTTCTACCAACTCCTCTGTCTAGCTTGGAGTACACTTCTTTCTCAAGTCTCATACTGACAGCTTCCATCTATCTCAACCAGCTTCAAAGCCTAATCAGTCGGCTGGGGAAAAACTTCCCGAAGGAGCTGAAGCTTCTAAGAACTCACATCAAAGAATCAGCAGGTCAAAACATAGACAAGATTTCAAAACAGCAGGAGAACGCCGAGAAGTTTCTGAATGTTTTGTCAAACTCGGAAGTTGCGAGCACACTTCAGAAGATAGCGGACGGGTACACAAAACAGTTCAAAAGACAACGGGACAAATACACAAAGGCTCTCATTAAACTACAGAGGATGAGAGGGGAGGAGGAAGAGGGCGCGAAAGAGGGTTGTTCACGCTGTCTCAAATGTCGCCCATCGGTTGTCGACCACCCGAAGACACATCCGAAACATGCAGAGTCACAGGTGAGCTCTAGTAGCGCTTCATGTAAAAATATCGAATTTGATTGGCTGAAAGTCCAACAATCAGAAACGAAATAACCTCAGTAATCTTATATCGTGCCCATGATCGAATGGGGGGAGGGGTGTAATTCCGCACGTACACCAAAACCCTAGTAAGTTGGTCCTAAAATCATAAGAATTGGGTCCTAGAAAATGGGTCCTAACCTATACCAAAATACTAGGAAGGACCCCTGTCCTAGGAGTTTGTAAACAAAGTAGTTTTCTACCCTCATAATAGATGAGCCCCTACTCAAGATCTTGCTAAGCTAAGCCCGACATCATATATATGGTACACAATTTTTTCTGATGTCATTTTTGTGGGTCCTAGCTAATTTGTGCTTGATAAATTGGGATATTTCTTTCGGGCAAATGTAATTTCGACCTAGTTGAAAAAGGACTTTATGGTATACAACAAATTTTTTTTGGCAGCGTAGCTGAACAGCTTGAAGCACTAAACTTTTTCTCAACTTGTGCTATCAACTTGTCCTCGACAAAACTTTTAGTTAAAAGATATTAATATGAAAAGACTCTCCATACCCTCTAAGAATGGAGGCTTTATCTTGGCAGAATATAAGCGAATGATAAATTTGTCAAACTTTGAAATGAGAAAAAAGAAAGTAAGAGGAATTTGGAGCAGAGTAGACCTTGATAAAAAACAGTCACAATTTAGGCTACTTTCAACAACGGAAAAAATTTAGAAAGGTAACTCTCGACAAGGAAAGAAACGTAGAGTTTTTCGCGAAGAGAAGGAAACATGAAAGAAAAAATACAAGTTAACTTTCAAAGATCAGTTTTTTTGAATGAGCTTCAACAATGACTTGATGCAGTACTGAAAAAAATTTTGATATTGTGAGCGACCTAGTTGGTGCTGAATATCAAAATATATTTGATCACTTTTTCTATTTTAACTCGGTTCAGGTCGATGATTAAGTTGAGAGGAAAATGTCTAAGTTTTAACAAAGTATCAAAACACAAAAAACGCGCGGTGTTTCATCTTATTAAGCACCACCATTATCTGGAGAATTTGAAAACCATCTGCAAGAATTCTTTTGTTTCCAGCGGTTTGAAACTCTGCAGGATAGAGAGATGTAGAAAAAATGATCAATAAACGCGCAAAAACGCAGAACTACTCCAACTGGTTCAGAAATAGTTCGCGAAACTTTTTTGTTCTAAATCAAATTTGTCCTAAACGTTCTTGCTGACGAAAATTTTTCTAGATTCAGGTTTTGTGTTTTTTGTTCAAAAGATAATTTAACTGCGGCACTTTAGTTAGGTTGAAAATATTTGGTGGCTTGTTTGCTAATGACGACTGTCCCCTGAAAAAATATTTAATGGACTCCGAGTTTTTGCAAATGCATGCAATTATGCACTGTTCATCCGGATTCGTAAATCATTTTTTTAAAGAGAGTCTCACCTACTGTAACACAGAGCCTAAACACTATAATGATAAATTATTGGGTCATTTGATTGATATAGTTTTCTGTCAATTAAATTGCTTGAAAGAAGACAACACCTTATGATTAAATATTTATTTAAGGTTAAGCGAGGAATAAGTTGGGCTAGAAGTTGAAGTATTGAGCTACTCAAAAACTTTTTAAGGGCAGAGGTTTGCCTTCACTACTTCAGACTGCAGCAAATTTTCCATTTTCTTGCCTCCAGCAATTTACTTACCCGGCCTGAATTGGGATTGTCTGATTACCTTTACATGATTTAAATCAGGTACTTCAAAACTTTATGAAGAGAATTTGTTGCGCCGCTTTCTCCGCTGAAAGTGAAAAAAAAACAGTTTTTGGACAAATACTTGGACCTTTTGCTGAAAACTTTGATGATTTGGGCGGATGATTTTGTGCGTGGACGAACGCAATGAGTGAAGTTAGGGTTTCTGAAAACAATAGAACGTAGTGACTGAAGGCGCTAAAACTTAAAAAGAGAACTGGACTATAACCTCAGGAGAAGAGCTGGCTACGAGGAAGGAATTTTTTCTTGTTGTTAATTTTTTTGTAAACTTCAAGAAATTCCGGTGTAGAAGAAGTTGGACAACAAGCAGCGGCTATATCTCCTCGAATTAGAGTTTAAAATCGAACTTTTTCTAGATGTTCAAAAGAAACCAAACAGCATTTGATTGCCACATGAGAAAAAAGCTTGTCAAAATTAGTATAGAAATTTCACGCGCAATCAAGTTCTATACTGTTTTGAGTCAATTTTTGGTTATCATGATTAGTTTTCGGGAAAAAGCAGAAATTTATCAGTACAAATTTTTTTTTTCCAGTGTCAGATATAGAAGCAGCAACAGCAGAAAAAGCTCATGTATAAGAATTAAAAGAGTTCGTTTAAAAATGGACTAAGTGTGAAAAAATCAAACAGTTTGATAACCTTATTACTTTGCCAAGAAATAAGGTGGTATCTGTTGCAAAATAGGTTGGATGTCCAGTTTTACAAAGTTTTTGCATTCTCAAACTTTTACTCACAGAACTAAGTCCCAAAAAACATGAAAAATTTCTCAAAATTATCCGGCTAAGTTGTTTGCCAACAACAAAACCGAAGGTAAAAACAAACTAATCCTTACGTTGAAAAGATTTTTCATGGTGATAGTGATATTTTTCGGATCCAAAAAAAGTGTTAGTGTTCAGTTTTTCGAAGGAAATTACTTTCTCTGAATCAAAGACTGTCCTATATATAATTTTTTAAAACATGTATCTGCGTTCTCAGCGAAAATTTTCTCGCAAAAAATTTGATATCCAATAGATCCGTTTCTGTAAGAAATTTAGAAATTTCTTTTCAATTTTTGTTGATTCAAAAGAAATTAGAAAATTTTTTTTTTTATCAGATTAACCTAAACAGGTAGACACAGAGGTATATGATAAGCAAAACTTGTTGCGTTATAGTCAAAAGTCAAGTGCGGCTTTTTTGATCACTTCACGCGATGGAAATTCATCTCAAATCGCCTCGTAACGCCGATTTAACAGATCTGCTAGGGAAAACACTTTAATTTATCTAATTTTTTGCGAAGCTGTGACAAATTAGTTTATAATAGCATCTTTGGACACTTTTTAATCAATTGGGACCCCTTACAACAGGTTCATAGATATGTTTTCTCATTTTTAACACAGATTGGTCCAAAAATTTCCCTTCTACCCTACTGAAATCAAAAACTTATCCCATCATAAACAAAAAAAGGAATTTTGAGCAATTTGCAATTGAAACCTGACCGTATGAAAACTTTCAAATTGAGAGATCATAGCAATGGAATCGTAGACAATGGAAGTTGCAATTATCAAAAAACTCTAGACAGTATAGAAAACGTTTCATCAGTAAAAAAAAATCAATCTACTTGAGATTTGGCGCCA